CTCAGCCTCTTCTCAGTCCCGGGAAGTAAGGTGGTAATCATTCACCCAGTGACATTAAGATAGTCCAAAGAGAACAATCCAAATAGAGCATCAGAGGTGTCCACATTCCTGTTGGTCCTCAGAAGATAAGAATCTTTCTGCAGCTTTTTATTTTGAGGATCTATCCACCTCCATCCTCATAAAACCCTCAGAACCTCAGCATTGAAAGAAACCAGAGAAATCAAAGAGTCAAACTCACTAGACTGTGGGCTCCCTAAGGGCAGAGACTAGGGTTGTCTTTCAATGCTTCCCCCCAGCTCCCTCACCTGGCAGGCAGGCAATACATGTTTATTCTGTGAAGAAGTGGATGAATAAATAAATGAAAGACTGAATGAGCTAACCTTGTACCTACTGTAAGAATCTGCCAAGATGGCCATTCAGTATTGGATGCCTCCAGGGACAGGGACCTCTTGAGAATACCCACTACATTTCTGACCACTTACAGATGTTAAAGTTCTTACATTGAATTAAAAACTACCTCTCTCTAACTGGCAGCTTTATTCTGTCTCCTGAATCGACAGGGAACAATCTGCTGTCTCTTCCACTTACTGCCCTTTCTGAACCAGCAGCACTGGTATCACCTACAAACTAGTTAAAAATGCAAATTGTCAGGCCCTGCCACAGACCAACTGAATCATATAGAAACCCTGGGGTTGGGGCCCAACCATCTCTTTTAACAACCTTCTGGGTGCTTCTGATGCAGGCTAACGTTTAGAACCACCGCCCTAGACCACAAGTTCTCAAACTTCAAAGATGTCTGGAAGTGTCTCACTATCCAAGCCTCACTCCCCTTTCTGCCTCCACCACATCCTGGATCATTCTGAACTTGGTGAACCCAGAAAGATTATGATCATAATAGTTCACATGTACTTAAGTGTTAAATCCTTGCGTTATTTCATGTAACCTTCACAAGACACCTACGAGGTAGGTACCAATACCTTCCCCATTTTGTAGTTAAGGATACCAAGGCTTTGAGTTCACACAGCAGTGTCGAAGCCAGATTTCAAACTCATGTCTATTGAACCTGGCCATACTTTTTCAGCAGTTTGCTGCTCTTTCTGAGAAGGTGGAAGCATAAAACTAAAGCATTACCAGGAACCAGTAGACCA